GTATTACCGTGTAAGTGGACCTACAGGGAGGGTATTATGGCATGTATGTGGACCTACAGGGAGGGTATTATGGCGTGTATGTAGGTATATGGACCTACAGGGAGGGTTTTACGGCATGTATGTGGACCTGCAGGGAGGGTATTACAGCATGTATGTTGACGTTGGGAGGGTATTACGGCGTGTATGTGGACCTACAGGGAGGGTATTACGGCATGTATGTGGACCTACAGGGAGGGTATTACGGCATGTATGTGGACCTACAGGGAGGGTATTACAGCGTGTATGTGGACCTACAGGGAGGGTATTACTACGTGTATGTGGACCTACAGGGAGGGTATTAAGGCATGTATGTAGACGTACAGGGAGGGTATTATTGCGTGTAAGTGGACCCACTGGGAGGGTATTATTACGTGTATGTGTACCTACAGGGAAGTTATTATGGCATGTAATTGGACCTACAGGGAGGGTATTACTACGTGTATGTTGACCTACAGGGAGGGTATTACTACGTGTATGTGGACCTACAGGGAGGGTATTACTACGTGTATGTGGACCTACAGGGAGGGTATTACTACGTGTATGTGGACCTACAGGGAGGGTATTATGGCGTGTATGTGGACCTACAGGGAGGGTATTACGGCATGTATGTTGACCTACAGGGAGGGTATTATGGCATGTATGTGGACCTACAGGGAGGGTATTACGACATGTATGTGGACCTACAGGGAGTGTATTACGGCGTGTATGTGTACGTGCAGGGAGGGTATTACGTCGTGTATGTGGACCTACAGGGAGGGTATTAGGGCGTGTATGTGAACCTACAGGTAGGGTATTACGGCATGTATGTGGACCTACAGGGAGGGTATTACGGCATGTACTTGGACCTACAGGTAGGGTATTATGGCGTGTATGTAGGTATGTGGACCTACAGGGATGGTATTACGGCATGTATGTGGACCTGTAGGGAGGGTATTACAGCGTGTATGTGGACCTACAGTTAGGGTATTACGGCATGTATTTGGACCTACAGGGAGGGTATTACGGCATGTATGTAGACCTACAGGGAGGGTATTACGGCATGTATGTGGACCTACAGGAGGGTATTACGGCATGTATGTGGACCTACAGGGAGGGTATTACGGCATGTATGTGGACCTACAGGGAGGGTATTACGGCATGTATGTGGACCTACAGGGAGGGTATTACAGCGTGTATGTGGAGCTACAGGGAGGGTATTACGGCGTGTATGTGGACCTACAGGGAAGGTATTACGGCATGTATGTGGACCTGTAGGGAGGGTATTACAGCGTGTATGTGGACCTACAGGGAGGGTATTACGGCATGTATGTGGACCTACAGGGAGGGTATTACGGCGTGTATGTTGACCTACAGGGAGGGTATTACGGCATGTATGTGGACCTACAGGGAGGGTATTACAGCGTGTATGTGGACCTACAGGGAGGGTATTACGGCATGTATGTGGACCTACAGGGAGGGTATTACAGCGTGTATGTGGACCTACAGGGAGGGTATTATGGCATGTATGTGGACCTACAGGGAGGGTATTACAGCGTGTATGTGGACCTACAGGGAGGGTATTACGGCATGTATGTGGACCTGGAGGGAGGGTATTACAGCGTGTATGTGGACCTACAGGGAGGGTATTACGGCATGTATGTGGACCTGTAGGGAGGCTATTACAGCGTGTATGTGGAGCTACAGGGAGGGTATTACGGCATGTATGTGGACCTACAGTTAGGGTATTACGGCGTGTATGTGGACCTACAGGGATGGTATTACGGCATGTATGTGGACCTGCAGGGAGGGTATTACAGCGTGTATGTGGACCTACAGGAGGGTATTACGGCATGTATGTGGACCTACAGGGAGGGTATTACGGCATGTATGTGGACCTACAGGAGTGTATTACGGCATGTATGTGGACCTACAGGGGGTGGTATTACAGCGTGTATGTGGACCTACAGGGAGGTATTATTATGACGTGTATGTGGACCTACAGGGGAGGTATGTTGACGTTACAGGCGTGTATGGCGTTCAGGGTATGTGGACCTACATTAAGGGTATTACGGCAGTGTATGTGGACCTACAGGGAGGGTATTATGGCATGTATGTGGACCTACAGGGAGGGTATTACGGCATGTATGTGGACCTACAGGGAGGGTATTACTACGTGTATGTGGACCTACAGGGAGGGTATTACGGTGTGTATGTGGACCTACAGGGAGGGTATTACTACGTGTATGTGGACCTACAGGGAGAGTATTATGGCATGTATGTGGACCTACAGGGAGGGTATTATGGCATGTATGTGGACCTACAGGGAGGGTATTACGGCGTGTATGTGGACCTACAGGGAGGGTATTATGGCGTGTATGTGGACCTACAGGGAGGGTATTACGGCATGTATGTGGACCTACAGTTAGGGTATTACGGCATGTATGTGGACCTACAGGGAGGGTATTACGGCATGTATGTGGACCTACAGGGGAGGTATTACGGCATGTATGTGGACCTACAGGGAGTGTATTACGGCATGTATGTGGACCTACAGGGAGGGTATTACGTCGTGTATGTGGACCTACAGGGAGGGTATTACGGCATGTATGTGGACCTACAGGAGGGTATTCACGATGTATGGTACCTACGGCGTGTACTACAGCATGTGGACCTACAGGGAGGGTATTATGGCATGTATGTGGACCTACAGGGAGGGTATTATGGCGTGTATGTAGGTATATGGACCTACAGGGAGGGTTTTACGGCATGTATGTGAACCTGCAGGGAGGGTTTTACAGCATGTATGTGGACCTACAGAGGAGGAGGAGGAGGGTTTACACAGTGCATGTGGACCTACCACAGGAGGGTATTACGGCATGTATGTGGACCTACAGGAGGGAGGGTATTATGGCATGTATGTGGACCTACAGGGAGGGTATTACAGCGTGTAAGTGGACCTACAGGGAGGGTATTACGGCATGTATGTGGACCTACAGGGAGGGTATTAAGGCATGTATGTGGACCTACAGGGAGGGTATTACTGCATGTATGTGGACCTACAGGGAGGGTATTACGGCAAGTGTATGTGGACCTACAGGGAGTTATTATTACATGCATGTATGTGGACCTACAGGGAGGGGTATTACGGCGTGTATGTGGACCTACAGGAGGGTATTACTACGTGTATGTGGACCTACAGGGAGGGTATTATTGCTATGTATGTAAATGGACCTACAGGGAGGGTATTACAGCATGTATGTGGACCTACAGGGAGGGTATTATGGCGTGTATGTGGACCTACAGGGAAGGTATTACTAGCATGTATGTGGACCTACAGGGAGGGTATTACGGCATGTATGTGGACCTACAGGGAGGGTATTACGGCATGTATGTGGACCTACAGGGAGTGTATTACGGCATGTATGTGGACCTACAGGGAGGGTATTACGGCATGTATGTGGACCTACAGGGAGGGTATTAGGGCGTGTATGTGGACCTACAGTTAGGGTATTACGGCATGTATGTGGACCTACAGGGAGGGTATTACGGCATGTATGTGGACCTACAGGGAGGGTATTACGGCGTGTATGTAGGTATGTGGACCTACAGGGAGGGTATTACGGCATGTATGTGGACCTACAGGGAGGGTATTACTGCGTGTATGTGGACCTACAGGGAGGGTATTACAGCGTGTATGTGGACCTACAGGGATGGTATTACGGCATGTATGTAGACCTACAGGGAGGGTATTACGGCATGTATGTGGACCTACAGGGAGGGTATTACAGCATGTATGTGGACCTACAGGGAGGGTATTACGGCATGTATGTGGACCTACAGGGAGGGTATTACGGCATGTATGTGGACCTACAGGGAGGGTATTACAGCGTGTATGTGGACCTACAGGGAGGGTATTACGGCGTGTATGTGGACCTACAGGGAGGGTATTACGGCATGTATGTGGACCTACAGGGAGGGTATTACAGCGTGTATGTGGACCTACAGGGATGGTATTACGGCATGTATGTGGACCTACAGGGAGGGTATTACGGCGTGTATGTGGACCTACAGGGAGGGTATTACGGCATGTATGTGGACCTACAGGGGAGTATTATTACGGCATGTATGTGGACCTACAGGGAGGGTATTATTACAGCATGTATGTGGACCTACAGGGAGGGTATTACAGCATGTATGTGGACCTACAGGGAGGAGTATTACAGCATGTATGTGGACCTACAGGTTAGGGTATTGTGGACCTAGCGTGTATGTGGACCTACAGGGAGGGTATTACAGCATGCATGTATGTGGACCTACAGGGAGGGTATTACTAGCGTGTATGTGGACCTACAGGGAGGGTATTACGGCATGTATGTGGACCTGTAGGGAGGGTATTACAGCGTGTATGTGGACCTACAGGGAGGTTATTACGGCATGTATGTGGACCTACAGGAGGGTATTACGGCGTGTATGTGGACCTACAGGGAGGGTATTACGGCATGTATGTGGACCTACAGGGAGGGTATTACAGCGTGTATGTGGACCTACAGGGAGGGTATTACGGCATGTATGTGGACCTACAGGGATGGTATTACGGCATGTATGTGGACCTACAGGGAGGGTATTACGGCATGTATGTGGACCTACAGGGAGGGTATTACGACGTGTATGTGGACCTACAGGGAGGGTATTACGGCATGTATGTGGACCTACAGGGAGGTTATTACGGCATGTATGTGGACCTACAGGGAGGGTATTATTACGTGTATGTGTACCTACAGGGAAGGTATTATGGCGTGAAAGTGGACCTACAGGGAGGGTATTAGTATGTGTATGTGAACCTACAGGGAGGGTATTACTACGTGTATGTGGACCTACAGGGAGGGTATTAAGACATGTATGTGGACCTACAGGGAATGTATTACCGTGTAAGTGGACCTACAGGGAGGGTATTACTGCATGTATGTGGACCTACAGGGAGGGTATTACTACATGTATGTGGACCTACAGGGAGGGTATTATGGCGTGTATGTGGACCTACAGGGAGGGTATTACGGCGTGTATGTGGACCTACAGGGAGGGTATTACGGCATGTATGTGGACCTACAGGGAGGGTATTACGGCATGTATGTTGACCTACAGGGAGGGTATTATGGCGTGTATGTGGACCTACAGGGAGGGTATTACTACGTGTATGTAGACCTACAGGGAGGATATTAAGGCATGTATGTGGACCTACAGGGAGGGTATTATGGCGTGTATGTGGACCTACGGGGAGGGTGTTATAATGTGTGTCTGGACCTACAGGTAGGGTATTACGGCATGTATGTTGACGTGCAGGTATGGTATTACTACGTGTATGTTTACCTACAGGGAGGGTATTACTACGTGTATGTGAACCTACAGGGAAGGTATTACGGCATGTACGTGGACCTACAAGGTATTATGGCGTGTATGTAGGTATGTGGACCTACAGGGAGGGTTTTACGGCATGTATGTGGACCTGCAGGGAGGGTATTACGGCGTGTATGTTGACGTGTTGGGAGAGTTTTACTGCGTGTAAATGGACCTACAGGGAGGGTATTACGGCATGTATGTGGACCTACAGGGATGGTATTACGGCATGTATGTGGACCTACAGTTAGGGTATTACGGCGTGTATGTGGACCTACAGGGATGGTATTACGGCATGTATGTGGACCTGTAGGGAGGGTATTACAATGTGTATGTGGACCTACAGTAGGGTATTACGGCATGTATGTGGACCTACAGGGATGCTATTACGGCATGTATGTGGACCTACAGGGAGGGTATTACGGCATGTATGTGGACCTACACTTAGGGTAATACGGCGTGTATGTGGACCTACAGGGGTGGTATTACGGCGTGTATGTGGACCTGTAGGGAGGGTATTATGGCGTGTATGTGGACCTGCAGGGAGGGTATTATGGCATGTATGTGGACCTACAGGGAAGGTATTACGGCATGTCAGTTGAGGTGCAGGGAGGGTATTATGGCATGTATGTGGACCTACAGGGAGGGTATTACGGCATGTATGTGGACCTACAGGGGAAGAGGGAGGTTACGGCATGTATGTGGACCTACAGGGAGTGTATTATTACGGCGTGTATGTGTACGTGCAGGGAGGGTATTACGTCATGTATGTGGACCTACAGGGAGGGTATTACGGCATGTATGTGGACCTACAGGGAGGGTATTACAGCGTGTATGTGGACCTACAGGGAGGGTATTACGGCAGTGTATGTGGACCTACAGGGAAGGTATTACGGCATGTATGTGGACCTACAGGGAGGGTATTACAGCGTGTATGTGCAGCTACAGGGAGGGTGTTACGGAGTGTAAGTGGACCTACAGGGAGGGTATTAACGTGTATGTGTACCTACAGGGAAGGTTTATGGCGTGTAAGTGGACCTACAGGGAGGGTATTACTATGTGTATGTGGACCTACAGGGAGGGTATTACTACGTGTATGTGGACCTACAGGGAGGGTATTAAGACATGTATGTGGACCTACAGGGAATGTATTACCGTGTAAGTGGACCTACAGGGAGGGTATTACGGCGTGTATGTGGACCTACAGGGAGGGTATTACTACTTGTATGGGGACCTACAGGGAGGGTATTATGGCGTGTATGTGGACCTACAGGGAGGGTATTACGGCATGTATTTGGACCTACAGGGAGGGTATTACAGCATGTATGTGGACCTACAGGGAGGGTATTACAGCATGTATGTTGACGTGCAGGGAGGGTATTATGGCGTGTATGTGGACCTACAGTTACAGGAGGGTATTATTTCGTGTATCTGGACCTACAGGGAGGGTATTAAGGCATGTATGTTGACGTACAGGGAGGGTATTACTACGTGTATGTGGACCTACAGGGAGGGTATTACTACGTGTATGTAGACCTACAGGGAGGGTATTAAGGCATGTATGTGGACCTACAGGGAGAGTATTATGGCGTGTATGTGGACCTACAGGGAGGGTGTTATGGTGTGTATCTGGACCTACAGGGAGGGTATTACGGCATGTATGTTGACGTGCAGGTAGGGTATTACTACGTGTATGTTGACCTACAGGGAGGGTATTACTACGTGTATGTGTACCTACAGGGAGGGTATTACGGCGTGTAAGTGGACCTACAGGGAGTGTATTACGCCATGTATGTGGACCTACAGGGAGGGTAATGTGGCGTGTATGTGTACCTACAGGGAGGGTATTACTACGTGTATGTGGACCTGCAGGGAGGGTATTACGGCATGTATGTGGACCTACAGGGAGTGTATTACGCCATGTATGTGGACCTACAGGGAGGGTATTACGGCGTGTATGTGTACCTACAGGTAGGATATTACAGCATGTATGTGGACCTACAGAGAGGGTATTACTACGTGTATGTGGACCTACAGGGAGGGTATTACGACCTGTAAGTGGACCTACAGGGAGGGTATTACGTGTATGTGGACCTACAGGGAGGGTATTACTACGTGTATGTGGACCTACTGGGAGGGTATTACTACATGTATGTAGGTATGTGGACCTACAGGGAGGGTATTACGGCGTGTAAGTGGACCTACAGGGAGGGTATTACTACGTGTATGGGGACGTACAGGTAGGGTTTTACTACGTGTATGTGGACCTACAGGGAGGGTATTACGGCATGTATGTGGACCTGCAGGGAGGGTATTACGGCGTGTATGTGGACCTACAGGAGGTATTGTGGGTATTCGATGTATGTGGACCTACAGGGGAGGGTATTACGGCGTGTATGTGGACATACAGGGAGGAGTATATTACAGGGAGGGTATTATGTATGTTGACCTACAGGGAGGAGTATTACTACTTGTATGTGGACCTAAAGTTAGGGTATTACGGCGTGTATGTGTACCTACAGGGAGGGTATTAAGGCATGTATGTGGACCTGCAGGGAGGGTATTATGGCGTGTATGTGGACCTACAGGGAGTGTATTACGGCATGTATGTGGACCTACAGGGAGGGTATTACGGCATGTAAGTTGAGGTGCAGGGAGGGTATTATGGCGTGTATGTGGACCTACAGGGAGGGTATTACGGCATGTATGTGGGCCTACAGGGAAGGTATTACTGCATGTATGTTGACGTGCAGGGAGGGTATTATGGCATGTATGTGGACCTACAGGGAAGGTTTTATGGCATGTATCTTAACCTACAGGGAGGGTATTACGGCATTTATGTTGACGTGCAAGGAGGGTATTACGGCATGTATGTGGACCTACAGGGAGGGTATTACGGCATGTATGTGGACCTGCAGGGAAGGTATTGCAGCATGTATGTGTACCTACAGGGAGGGTATTACGGCGTGTAAGTGGACCTACAGGGAGGGTATTACGTGAATGTGGACGTACAGGTAGGGTATTGCTACGTGTATGTGGACCTACTGGGAGGGTATTACTACATGTATGTGGGTATGTGGACCTACAGGGAGGGTATTACGGCGTGTAAGTGGACCTACTGGGAGGGTATTACTACGTGTATGTGGACGTACAGGGAGGGGTATTACGGCATGTATGGGGACCTACAGGAGGGTATTAAGGCATGTATGTGGACCTACAGGAGGTTAGGAGGTATTGACGGCGTGTAGGTGGACCTACAGGGAGAGTATTACGACGTGTAAGTGGACCTACAGGGAGGGTATTACTACGTGTATGTGGACCTACAGGGAGGGTATTACGGCGTGTATGTGGACCTACAGGGAGGGTATTACGGCGTGTATGTGGACCTACAGGGAGGGTATTACGGCGTGTATGTTGGACCTACATAGGGGCATTACTACGTGTATGTGGACCTACAGGGTGTATGTGGACCTACAGGGAGGGTATTACGGCATGTATGTGGACCTACAGGGAGGGTATTGCGGCATGTATGTGGACCTACAGGGAGGGTATTACGGCGTGTATGTGGACCTACAGGGAGGGTATTACGGCGTGTATGTGGACCTACAGGGAGGGTATTACAGCGTGTATGTGGACCTACAGGGAGGGTATTACGGCGTGTATGTGGACCTACAGGGAGGGTATTACGTTCATCAACTGTTGCAGGTGATGGCGAAGTGACGTTTGTTGATGTTGATGGCCTGGTCACAACTAAGACAGTGAATGAGAATCTCACAATACCCATAGCTACAGAACAAATAGACAAATCTGCAAGGTAGGAATCTATTTCATGCTGTGTCATCCTTAGCAAATCATTGTAATGGCTCAATCAAATTTTTGGTTATTTCCTAATTCTTGCTGCATTACCTTTCCCGTGCATATTTTAAACGTATTGAGCCTATGTATGCAATGTATATGCGCGATTTGATCACTCAGAATTTGAGAAAATGCTACACAGTGTGAAATGCTTACATTATATGTTGTGAGAAGCGCAATTTTATATGGTTGTTTGATTTCATCTGAACACTGGGTGTTTGTGACAAAGACAAATGGGAGGGCATACTGGTTTCAGCTCCGTCCGTCCGGGATGATGGGGACAGATTTTCTCAAGCAAATTTGGTATGTGTTTTCAGGGCACGAATGCCGTGATGGAGTTCGAAAACGGAAACAGTGTTACAATTTGTTACAGAGTTATGGCCCTTGCCATGCATTTCTTGACTTCGCGCACAGTATTCCCAATGGAGATAGATATTCTCAGTAACTGTTATATACTGAGTCAAAAAAGAAACTTCACATTCTTTCTTCAGGGCACTATAAAAGAACAAGAGATGGTAAGATGGTTAAATTGTTATTATTTCATTGCTGAGATCTGTGTGATGTACTCGATACACTGACAGTGCTATAATCAGTTCCATTAGGCTACACCGCCGTTCCAAAACATGGGTATACAGAATGTCAAGTCACAATATGGACGTCGAGAATGGAGATTGGCAGCCCGCAACCGATTTCGAATGGTCTGTGAGGACAGTCGACCTCTAAAGATCTCAGCCCTGGTTCGTGTAGCCGGCAGAAATCTGTCACGTAGGTGACGTAGGACGATTTGACGGTCTTCTGCTCGTGACGTCACACGTGGACGACCCGACCTTGGGCGATCAGAAGTGGTGCCAGTTTGTTGTAGACGACCTCGCAAGTCATACACAGTACGACGGCTGCATCCCTTTGCTCTTGCGACGTCAATAACTGATCTTCCCGCTTGCAACATGTCAACGGCACGTTCACGTTGCACATTTGACAATCGTGGCATTTCAAGTACCATTAGAACTGTGGTTTAAAAGTGTTTTCAATTCTTGAGGCCAATGCAAACACGTGCATATGAAGAAAACTTCAATGCGAAGATCACGTGATCGACTGCACTTGCAAAACCTGATTTGGCATTAACGTCATTTGCACGAGGAATGGATGGGTTTGAGTGGGCTTTACTAACGTTTTTCTAGAGTCGAAAGATAGGGATCCCATTTCGGATACATAGATGTATCATCAGAGAAATAAATATTCATTATTTTTCAAATTACATTTTGTGAAGTTTCTTTTTTGACTCAGTATAGATAGGGAAACCAAATGTGGTATGTGTTTTCAGGACATGAATGTCGTAGTGGAGTTAAATAGCATGACTGACTGACTGACTGAGTTTGGTTTTACGCCGCTTTTAGCAATATTCCTGCAACATCACGGCGGGGAACACCAGAAATGGGCTTCACACATTGTACCCATGTGGGGATTCGAACCCGGGTCTTCGGCGTGACGAGCCAACGCTTTAACCACTAGGCTACCCCACCGCCCCTAAATAGCATGAACCAAATAGGAACAGAACACTGTGGCGGGGGATATTGTGGTCATAGCTTCTTGGTTCGGAAATGTACCTGTATGAGAAAATCAGTGATGTGTTTGGCACAGCCGAGTGTGAGATATACGTGATGTAATAGGGTCGCGTGATCGTCGCTAGCGAAACACTATCCAACATGGCGGACAGCTCACTTCGGCGTTGTATTTTCCCAAACATCTTAACTAAAACTAGGTTTATACACGTTCCAGATTTATTATTATGGTTGTGATAATATAGATATAATAATAATAATAATAATAGTTCATTTATAAAGCGCATATTTCCATGCACAATGCATTAAGATATCAGTGATTACTAATTATACTCCAAATTATTATCCAATTTGTACATTTCAAAACATATGCCAAATAACGCCGTGAATCGCGATTTGATTCTGTGTAAAAGTCATTTTTAGCACATTGCGTTGCCTCAGGTGATAGTGAACGATATCAAGAATCAGGTCCCCCAGAATTAAAGGGTATTTGTGTGCTTCATATATTTTTATCTTTCTTTATTTTAAAGTGAAGGTTGAGGAGAAGGGACGTATATGTCCCTGGCATCTAGAGGGTTAACCTGCACCTGCACCTGTAAAGTTGACAGGTGAGCTACAGAACCTTGGTGATATGTTTATGTTTACTGACGGTGTGTCACTTTCTTGTAGCTATTACTGGCTGCAGCCTCTGAGTCGGTTGGAGACATCCCGGCGAGCGAAAGATTTGATTGGACAGTATTTCACCGGAAGTGGTGAAGACCTCGCCTGGTTTTGTAGGTTCGACGTCCCTGGCGTGCCTAAGTAGACTGACGACGACGACGACGTTGTCAACCTCCTGGTAATATGACTACTACAGAGATCTGTTTGAGAACAGTGGAACACTGCATGTCTGTTAATGTTTTTCAACGTCAAATACGATTAAGTGACATCTTCACATAGTATACTGGACAAAAATAGTTAGGGATATATATTTAAGTTTTGAAATTATGAATAATGATCTATTTATTCATTGACACTCTGATATAATATCAATCATAAAAATACCAATATCCCTAACTTATTTTGTCCAGTATATTAACGGATTTCTGAATGGACTGTTGTGTTTTCTCTCGTTCACCTTTATGTAATCCAACCTGTTGATGTTCTTCACGGGTATTAAATGCATTGTTATATCGCGTTTTGTTTTGTTTGTTCATGCAGGTAGTAAACAGTGACATTCTGTTCGTCGTACTCTTTTACTAGGAAGTTTCCGTGTTTTTGGATCGTCTATGTGTGTGTGCGTGATATGCATGCGTGTGTGTGTGTGTGTGTGTGTGTGTGTGTGTGTGTGTGTGTGTGTGTGTGTGTGTGTGTGTGTGTGTGTGTGTGTGTGTGTGTGTGTGTGTGTGTGTTTGTTTGTATGTAATTGTGCTTGTTTGTGCGAGCGTGAATGTGCCTGTGTGGGCGTCAATCATTTGTGTGTGCTTTCTGTATTTGTGTATGGGTGTGGGTGTCCTTTATATATATGTGTGTGTGAGCGGGCGCGCATTTGGTGCATGTATTTTTGTGCGTTCACGTATTGAAACTTGACAACGTTGTAGACGAGGGGTTAAAGCATTCGCTCGTGGCTTCTTGGTTCTATTCCAATATGAGTAGAATATGTGAAGCACATCCTGGTGTTCGCTGCACTCCTGTTGTATATATACTGAAGGAAACAAATAAGGGAACACATGAAAGTACAAGCGTTTTTGTATTCTTTTCCATGTTTCTTCGCAAGCTTTGTATTGCATAGATAAAGAAACACTATGATGAAGTGTTGTTTCCTTATTTGTTTCCCTCAGTATATATAATAATCATGCATATATGCATACAGACAATATGGTGGTTGCTGATGCATATTTCTGGAATATTGCTGAAAGCAGCATAAAACCATACTCACTCACAATGGTTGTGTGGTTATTTCCATGATGGCAAAAGAAAGACGTGTGTGATGACGCGACTACGCTGACCAAAGCATACGGGACGACTATGTGCAGAAGCTGCGTTGTGCATCCCTCATGTAGCTAGAACATTGCTGAGTTAAACAGAAAACAGCCACGAACACGTTCCGGTGTGTTACAGTAAGTGAGTGAATTTACTTTCACGCCGATTGTAGCAATATTCCAGCAATATCACGGCGGGAAATGGGCTTCACACATTGTATCCATGTGGGGAATCGAAACTGGTCTTCGGCGTGAAGAGCGAACGCTTTAACCACTAGGCTACCCCACCCTAGCATTGACAGATGATATTGTAAAAATCTATGCTACCTTTGCTACCTTGCACCAGGCAGTGGCGTAGCCTAGTGCTGGAATATCGCTAAAATGGCGTGAAACTAAATTGGTGGACCAATGAGAAACGCATCTTCCTCACTTCGTTACATCCGTTGTGTACCCGTGAAGACCCGGGTTAGAATATTGATCTTCAGTAACCAATGCTTGTCGTAAGAGGCGACTAACGGGATCGGGTGGTCAGGCTCGCTGACTTGGTTGTCACATGTCATCGGTTCCTAATTGCGCAGAGCGATGCTCATGCTGTTGATAACTGGATTGTCTGGTCCAGACTCAATTATGTACAGTCCGCCAACATATAGCTGGAATATTGCTGAGTGCGGCGTAAAACTAAACTAACTCACTCACTCACATCCGTTGTGCAAATATACGCTTTGTTGAACCTTTAACAAGACTAGAAGACCTGCTGGAACCTGGACTGAAGATGCCCTTTTAAGGACGCTTCAGTACTTTGGGATAAACTGTCACTAATTTTATCAAATACACACTAACCACTGTAGTAAGAGTATTATTAGTCAAGTATTATAAGTCCTTAGCGGCATAAATTGTCTAATGAGCCGCAGTTCGCTGTGCAGAGTTACATACCTTAGAAGCAACAGGATACACTGATCATTAGCTAGAATCACACGCTGCCACAATCAGTACCTTAGGTTTGTCAGCAACGTGTACGTGTTCGTCGCCATGGTGATAAAGCCACCAGGTTTAATTCACCTCTTGTTGGTCCTATCTTATCTAAAATACCGAAGCGAAATGTTGAAAAGAACAAATTCAGTATCATGGGTCTTACGCGGGTCATATGTGACAGGTGCGACTGTCTCATAAACACCTGTTGTCAGATGTACAAGTTTATAAAACAGGAACGACGTTACCAGCCTGGCAGCATGGTGTCGGGTAAGTGGCGTAGTATAGAACATAGAAACATTGTTCTATGCATTCACGTATTGAAACTTGCAACGTCTTCGAGGGACAACGTTGCAGACGAGTGGTTAAAGCATTCGCTCATGGCTTCTTGGTTTTATCATCCAAAACTGTGTTCCACAGGAGATATTGCTTTTGTGAGATCAAACGATATCTCCTAGGAGATATCGCTTTGACAGTAGATCTTGTACAATGCCCTGACAATGCTATGACGTCATGAACTTGATGACGTCACAATGCTATCACATCGCTTCACTGCAAGCCTAATGGCAGTACTGTGTTCAGAGATGTACATTTTTTCATTGAAAACTAATGAAGGGTGATTTTGGATGATAAATAGAATCTCACCCTCGTGTCTTCTGATATCAAATATATCAACACTCGTTGATAAAAGTTAAAATATCCTCGGCAAGCCTCGGATATTTGTAACTTTATCAACTCGTGTTGATATAATTGATATCAGAAGACACTTGGGTGAGATTCTCTATCTATTCCAATATGAGTAGAATATGTGAAGCACATCCTGCTGTTCGCCGTACTGCTGTTGTATATATACTGAAGGAAACAAATAAGGGAACACATGAAAGTACAAGTGTTTCTGTATTCTTTTCCATGTTTCTTCGCAAGCTTTGTATTGCACTGTAGGTGAAAATCTGGGAATAGATAAAGAAACACCATGATGAAGTGTTGTTCCCCTTATTTGATTCCCTCAGTATATATAATAAGCATGCATATATGCATACAAACAAGATGGTGGTTGCTGATGCAATGCCAGGCTCTGACCCTTGCATTAAATTGACGATACATTTCTTTGTTTATGTTTTCTCTTAGCGTCCATGATGTTAACGCTGTTTGTGTCGCCTCTGTTGGTGATGATGGCGTCTGCAGTCACTGTCAACCTGAACGGTCTGCAGTATGTGGGGATAGGCTACAACTTGCTGAAGGCCAACCCTGAGGGTGAGGACACGGTGCCCCGAGGGGGGGGATAGACCCGGGCGTTCTTCTCACCCGGCACATCTTCAAACTGACCGGGAAAGACCCACCGGAAGCCGAGATTGCTCAAGGTCGTCTCGACTGCGCGACGGAGGAATATGTCTACTTTGGTCAGAAGTCCTACCAAACCATGCTGTCGCGTCGGGTAGACACCTCCTGTGAGTAGTTGCATTGTGAGTGAGTGAGTGGATGGGTGGTTTGCGCGCGTGTGTATGTGTGGAGGAGGGGTTGCGTGCGTGCATGCGTGAGTAAGTGGGTGAGTGCGTGCGCGCGTGAGTGTGTGTGTTTTGGGGAAGGGTTGCATGCTTGCGTGAATGGGTGAGTGCGTGCGTGCGCGCGTGAGTTGGTGAATGAGTGAGTGAGATGCCAGATCACCATAAAATACCTAACTCAGACACAGTATGCTGACTCCGAGCTAACTGATCCACTTTTATTCCCTTGATGCCATACGCATGTCAGTGTAACAACAAGTAACTTCTCTTCACGTCTTTTGGTCTGACGCGGCCGGGGGTCGACCCTCAGCTGACACTCTATCCATTACACCACGGAGGCGTTCTGAAATGTTGAGCCTGAAGGGGAGAGTCTGATAGGGTGTGCTTTGGGGCGTGTTCCGGAAATGGTGTGACTGATGAGAATCATCATGAGATATCCCTGAAAGTCTGAATAAATGAAGCACTATTCACTCAATAACTATCTGTCACTGAAATTCCATGTTGGTCATCAAATATCTCTAAAAGTTGTACTTATTTATTACAAACAAATATTATAAATAATCCTTTAACTCTCTTTGTTTTGTCTTCTTCAAGTTGGTGGTAAAATAGGCCAGTTGCTCGCCAGCTTCTCCTTCGGGATGAGTTCCAGTAAGTACAACCAGGCTACCTGCCTTTATAGAGGAAGGAATATACACACAGGGTAGTAGGGTCATAGGTGGCGCTGTATTACACACACCAGGTACAGTCCGTTTGATTTTATTTGAAAACGATGAATTGCTCGCTAACACAAAATCATTTTTGACGAGTGGGGACCACTTGCTGGTAGAAAGTCAGGTGTGCGAGTTGCGCGTGGGAAATTGAAATTTCACTACACACGCTTGTTGATTACTTAGCTGTTCTACCAGCAAGTGACCCTCCTCGTCAAAAAATAGCGAAAACTGACAACAGAATAATGGTCGTTTGTTAAAAATCTTTTTTATTCGGGTGTCCAAAAGTATGAGACAAATCATCTCAGAGTTGGTCAGTCGATTTCATGTGACTATGAAAAAAATGGTTTTGTTGCAATTATTAGATTTTGTGTTAGTGAGAAATTCATCGGTCTCAAATGAAATAGTAGCTCATAGTAGCTGCTATCACACTGACACCACGGGTAATACAACAACGTGGCAGCAGTTGTTTCACACATCACACACATCATAAAATCAACAATCATTTTGTCGTTTTATTTATGAATCAAAGGATCATACCGGTCAGAAAAACTCCATCGTGGTCACCACGAGAAGTTTTAGTACGTGTTGTAAACTATCTTCACCAAAATACATGGGGTGCTTAATTAAGTTCTTTGAGTATAGTAGATCTACAAGACAGGTGCTCTGACACCAAGAAACTTGACCCTAAACGCTTGAAATTTGCACACTTGATACTTATACTCCCCATGACGCCATTGCACTAGGCTCCCAACACGCCAGTACCCAGACCAATGTGGAGAAGAACGTGTTCTGGCAGCAAGAGAGTGCCTGCAACATTGGCCAGGTGCGCTATCTGGACGAGCTGGCACCGACACATAACTTCTCTGTGACGGAGAACTTCGCGGCGGCTGTCTGTGCCCTGCCCGACACCTACAACGCTGCTGCATACATGAACTTCATTGACACCTGGGGCACGGTAGGTTCACATGTCTGTATCCGGCGATCTTGTGACCATATGGTGAGTGAGTGAGTATGCAAGTGAGTGAGTGTGTGGGTGTGTGAGCGAATGGGTGGGTAAGTGTGAGTGAGTGAGTGGGTGGGTGAGTTGGTGGGTCAGTGAGTGTGTGGGTCAGTGAGTGTGAGCGAATGGGTGGGTAAGTGTGAGTGAGTGAGTGAGTGAGTGGGTGGGTGAGAGAGTGAGTTGGTGGGTGAGTGCGTGGGTCAGTGAGTGTGTGAGCGAATGGGTGGGTAAGTGTGAGTGAGTGGGTGGGTGGATGAGTGAGTGGGTGAGAGAGTGAGTGAGTTGGTGAGTGAGAGTGAATGAGTTGGGTGAGTGGGTGAGTACGTGAGTGGGTGAGTGAGTGAGCGGGTGGGTGGGTGGTTGAGTGAGGGAACAATGACATATCAATTATGTTAACACCATGCCCCCACACACACACACACACACCCCACATCCCCAGTATCGAATAATGACGCATCAATTATCATCATACCATGCACCCCAGTGTCGAACAATGACATATCAGTTATTCATCATCAGCGACATACCAGTTATAATGTTTCCCTGATTTGTGACCAATGCGATATTCACTAGTATCGCCCTCCGATTGGCGACAATCTCAAACAAAGGACCACGATGTTCTGTATATTATCGTATATTTATTGTAGCATGTGATCACAACAGCCGACCTTGGGTACCGAACCATCACCAGATACAAGAGTTCTCTGACGACCTTCGTTGAATACGTCATGCAGAAGGTAGGTCATGGTTACACTACACTTAATCAGTATCGCTTGCTCGCTGAGCCGGTCCGTATGTCAAGTCAAGTCAAGAGAGAGACAGAGACATGTGACAGCTGTGATTGGATGAAATAGTGTAAGATGTTTGTTTTTTAAAAGCATATCCAACCAGTAATTAAAATTGACCACAATTTGAAGTATTCAGTGCTGTCATTTTCATCACCATGACTTATGCTTATTGTGTGTACAGATATTTTCCAGTAGGTGACATTTGGTGCGGAACTGGGGTTAGATGTGTTCCGCTTCCTGTCCTCGCAAAACGAGCCGGACAAGTTGGCCTGATATTGTGTTTTATTGTAGTTCAAAGGCCAGAGTGTACCCATGTGTACATGGAATGGCTGTTGATAGCTTGTCTATTTTAAACAAAATTATAAGGTTACTATAGAAGTCTATGGGAAAACATTTGGTGGTGTGTAACCTCATAGCAGCAGGCTCTTCACGAGTGAAAATTGGGAAAAGTTGCCTCCCCTGACAACGCTCCACTTCCGGCGCGTATACCCGTAAACCCGATGATGAATAGACCATAGTAAATACGTAGCGAAGATTTCGTGAATACGTAGCGAAGATATAGTGAATACATGGCGCACGTTAAGTGATTATACAGTGTACATGTAGTGAGTGAGTGAGTTTGGTTTGACGCATTTACCAATATTCCATCAATATCACTCATTGTACCCATGTGGGGAATCGAACCCGGGCCTTCGGTGTGATGAGCGAACGCTTTAACCACCGTCCCTGGTGGTGTAGCATACACGCAGTGCAGGTGATGTGAATACGACCTAAAGGTGCAGGAAATACTTTGTGCAGTTTTACTGTTGACGCAAGGAACACGCAGTAGAAACGTGGTGAATGGTAAATAGAAATGAAGTGAATGCGTAATATATACTACCCATCAAAAGTTTAGACTCACTAGTGTAAATGTAACTTACTTCAGGCAACTGTTCTAAACAAGATTATGCAAAAATATTCCATAATAGTTGAAGGTACTGTTTACACATAAACTGATGTATTGTAAAACAAATTCATAAGTTGAAAATATTTTTGTCATGAGTTCAATAAATGATGAAACTCAGTGAAAATTGAACAAAGAGAATTTTCTGGGTAACATCTTCTTTTTATTCGTGAGTACAACGTTTCAGGGCTTTCACCTGATGATGGGGCCAGATTAAGCCCTGAAACGTTGTACTCAAGAATGAAAAGAAGATGTAAACCAGAAAAATCTCCATGTTCATCAAATAGCATCTTCTAAAATGCCAATCAAGCATCTCAGTGAAAATTGGTGAATTCGTAACAAAACTTGACACCAAAACGCAGCTTTTCAAATGCACGATATTTCCACATGCTTTTCAGCAATTTGATGCATGATCCTCGTGCAGTTAACAAGCAAAAGGTTTGGAGATGGTTCCCCCAAGTTATGGGCAGATATTCATCCTCGGTGTAACCACATATATATACATAACTTTTAGTGAATGCTTTAAGCGAGTCTAAACTTTTGATGGGTAGTATATATGTATCATGCATAGCGTAAATGTAGATGTAGGGTCTGTGTGAACGAGGAACACAGGGCGTTCCACAAAGCGATCGTAGCGCTAAGATGATCGTAACTATACTTAAATATAGACTTACGACTGTCGTAGCGCTAAGATGATCGTAAGTATACTTAAATATAGACTTACGACTGTCGTAGCGCTAAGATGATCGTAACTATACTTAAATATAGACTTACGACTGTCGTAGCGCTAAGATGATCGTAACTATACTTAAATATACACTTACGACTGTCGTAGCGCTAAGATGATCGTAACTATACTTAAATATACACTTACGACTGTCGTAGCGCTAAGATGATCGTAACTATACTTAAATATACACTTACGACTGTCGTAGCGCTAAGATGATCGTAACTATACTTAAATATACACTTACGACTGTCGTAGTGCTACGTTCGCTACGTTCGCTTTCTCTGACAGTCTGGGACATCCATCACCTTCGGTGGTCGCTACAATCAGTACAGCGGATCTGTAGGTGTCGACCTGAACAAGTTTCAACACGACACCACCTTCAGCAGCCACTTTGGTAGCTTACAGTTCAGCTTCAAAATCGGGACACCTGACCACCCAGAACCTCTGTGGTTTGAAGTTCGCCCACTGAACTACGCCCTGAGCGCCGCCTACTGGCAGGTCTACTCGTCTTGTTCAGGCAACACTCAGCTGTCTCTCGCCAAGAGACAGACCTCTCTCCTCACAGCTCTCCAGGCTTACCCGACACTGAAGAAGCAGCAACTGGCATCAGGCAGGTTATATCACACAATCTCAACCGTATACATCTCACCATAAATATCAAGAACATAATAATCTGTACGGATCAAGTCCATAGATATACGAACATAATCTTGGTTAAACTATGCCTAATTTCACCACAGATTTTGTCCAAGCAGTTGAGGCCCAATAGCTCTACATGTATAACATATAGTTCAACAAGAAGCGATGCGTGTGCGTGTGCGTGTGTGTGTGTGCGCGCGCGTATGTGTGTGTGTGTGTGTGTGAGAGAGAGAGAGAGGAGAGGGAGAGAGAGCAATATTTTGTACATATGGAAATATTAATAAAGTATAGGAGGGTGTCACTTACTTTGTGCATACATCTCTCTCTCTCTCTCTCTCTCTCTCTCTCTCTCTCTCACACACACTAACACACACACACACACAAACACATCCTCCTTCCCCAAATACTTCACCACCTTAAACCCCCAATATGCACACACACATACGCTCACTACACATGCACAGTCACAGACTGACACAAAAACACTAACACACATGCACACACATGCACACACAAAACTACACTTACACGTCACTGTATAAAAACTATATATCTTTCCATTAACCGGACAGATATCGAGCTGAAAATCCCACTGATATGGCCGCTGGGGACGTACGGTTTGATGCAGGCCAAGACTGGCTGCCCCACGGGTGGTGCATCATGGGCTGAGGGGTGGCGCTACGAAGACTTGGAAAATACATTGACTCTAAACCACGCCTCAAGCAACATACACCTCAGAGGTAAGGGCGATAACTGTGCTGCTACTAGTACACCCAGCAGTTAATGGCTCAACTGGTCAAATGGCAATCTGGAGGGACCGAAGCTGATATATTCATTTGCGGCCAGTAAAGGATGTATAAATTATGCATAGTATACTCGTACATATATATCTATCATACTAGGGGCGGTGTGGTAGCCTAGTGGATAAAGCGTTCCCTCCTCACGCCGGAGACCCGGGTCCCGTTCCCCAATTGCGTTCCCCAATTGCGTACAAGGCGTGAAGCCGATTTCTGGTGTCCCCCACGGTAATATTGCTGGAATATTGCTAAAAGCGGCGTAAAGTCATACTCACTCACTATTTATCATAATAGAGGCTATAAACGATGGTCATAGCAAAATGCACAGCTAATTTCAATACGGACTTATTGTAACCGTTGACAACTCATTCAAAGCTAATAAGCTTATTCTCGCTCTTTCATATTTCACATAATTTGATAAAGGTGAGCTAATGTACCGATGGTTTCATATTGCTAAAACATACGTTCCAGGAAGCTTCCCGGACAAAGGAAATTTCAAGTACTACTTCTGTATGAAGGGGAAGCCGAAGGTCAGTGACTGGGACATGGATTGGCCGGCAGGGGACTACTGCATCCTCAAGTATGGGAACTGCCCTTCAGGTAGATATACTTCATCTTCATACTGCATCCTCAAGTATGGGAACTGCCCTTCAGGTAGATATACTTCATCTTCATACTGCATCCTCAAGTATGGGAACTGCCCTTCAGGTAGATATACTGCATCTTCATACTGCATACTGAAGTATGGGAACTGCCCTTCAGGTAGATATACTGCATCTTCATACTGCATCCTCAAGTATTAGGGGAACTGCCCTTCAGGTAGATATACTGCATCTTCATACTGCATCCTCAAGTATGGAAACTGCCCTTCAGGTAGATATACTTCATCTTCATACTGGATCCTCAAGTATGGGAACTGCCCTTCAGGTAGATATACTGCATCTTCATACTGCATACTCAAGTATGGGAACTGCCCTTCAGGTAGATATACTTCATCTTCATACTGCATACTCAAGTATGGGAACTGCCCTTCAGGTAGATATACTTTATCTTCATACTGGATCCTCAAGTATGGGAACTGCCCTACAGGTAGATATACTTCATCTTCATACTGCATCCTCAAGTATGGGAACTGCCCTTCAGGTAGATATACTACATCTTCATACTGGATCCTCAAGTATGGGAACTGCCCTTCAGGTAGATATACTGCATCTTCATACTGGATCCTCAAGTATGGAAACTGCCCTTCAGGTAGATATACTACATCTTCATACTGGATCCTCAAGTATAGGAACAGCCCTTCAGGTAGATATACTGCATCTTCATACTGCATCCTCAAGCATAGGAACTGCCCTTCAGGTAGATATACTACATCTTCATACTGCATCCCCAAGTATAGGAACTGCCCTTCAGGCAGATATACTACATCTTCATACTGCATCCCTAAGTATAGGATCTGCCCTTGAGGTAGATATACTTCATCTTCATACTGCATCCTCAAGTATGGGAACTGTCCTTCAGGTAGATATACTACATCTTCATACTGCATCCCTAAGTATAGGATCTGCCCTTGAGGTAGATATACTTCATCTTCATACTGCATCCTCAAGTATGGGAACTGCCTTCAGGTAGATATCCTGGATCCTAAATTATGGGAACTATAAATATATGCCTACAGCAAACAGATGTGTTTATTTAGGTTATAGCAAATTAACGGAGGAGTTTGTCTGTTGTGTGTTGCAGGCTTCCGAGACGGCTACATCCAGCTTGACGACAATGACATCCCCAACAGAAACAGTCATGGCGGTACACTACCTGATGGGGATTTTGGCAAGAATACACACATCAACTTTTGTTGCAGGTAGAAATCTAGAAGAGTCAGTGTGGAATGTATGAACTGTAGTCGCGCCTGTGGTGCTGTTATAAAGGTACAGCCAGCCTCCATGAAATTGTCGAAACTTCTCGAACGGTAAAGATCGAGCCCATGCTGTCAACAACCAAGGGAGGTAACTGTATGAGTTTTCTTCTTTGCTGTTCTTTATTCACACGTTTCACGTTTTTTCCAGAGATGACGGGATGCCCACCAACCCGGTGTACCTGCCCACAGAGAAACCCTTCTACCTGTTCCTGTACAACCGAGGCTGCCAACAAGTGCACGGTATGGCACTCACCACGGAATACCTCGTCTACGACACAGAAGACACCACAACCCGGGATCACTTCGGGGGGTCTCACCCCGGTATATTTTATACTGGGCGCAAACCCGGGATACACTTCTGTTACTATTCGCCTCCACACTACAGCGGGCCCATCATTGGGTGAATGGTTATTACAGTACCCGATCATGTGGAATAAAGAGGATATTGGAAGCAAACCTGGACTACATTTGTATTACATTCACTTCTACAACTGGTCGCGTCATTGGTTAGGGCTAGAAACAACCAAGTTCTTAAAAATGGAGGGATGGTGGGGCAGCCTCGTGGTAAAAGCCCTCGCTCGTTACCCTGACGTCTCGGGTTCGATTCCCCAAATGGGTACTGTGAGTGAAGCTCATTTCTGGTGTCCCTGGAATATTGCTAAAAGCGGCGTAAAACCTCACCCCTCACTTATAATATTGGTTTGTGTCTGTATGCAAAAAATGTATACCATGTGCATTCATTGAGTCATCCAGGCCGCATTGTTGACGTCATTCACATTAACTGTGAGGGGCGGTGGGGTAGCCTAGTGGTTAAAGCATTCGCTCGTCAAGCCAAAGACCCGGGTTTGATTCCCCACATGGGCGCAACGTCTGAAGCCCATCTCTGGTGTCCCCTGCCGTGACATCACTGGAATATTGCTAAAAGCGACGTAATACTAAACTCACTCACTCACATTAACTGTGAAGTTTTAAGAAATTCCGATGAGTGAAGCGCTCCTACAATCACTATAATCAGCCTATTTTGAACAGATGTTTCTACTGGTGAGACGACAAGCTTGGCAGACGCATTTCGAATGTGAAAATCAAACTTTGCAAACTTAAAGGCTAGTTGTCAGTCCTATGAAAATGTCCAACAAGACTGAATAAAACAGAATTAAAAAAATGTTTACATTTATTGCAGATATCTCTAGCAAGGGATTTTGTCGATTGTTTAATGCTCGTCGCGATATGGCTGAAATACTGCCGTTGTGACGTTAATTTGTTACTCACTCACTATTGTTTGATGAGTGAGTGAGTGAGGTTAGTTTTACGCCGCACTCAGCAATATTCCAGCTATATGGCGGCGGTCTGTAAATAATCGAGTCTGGACCAGACAATCCAGTGATCAACAGCATGAACATCGATCTGCGCAATAAGGAACCGATGACATGTGTCAACCAAGCCAAGCGAGCCTGACCACCCGATCCCGTTAGTCGCCTCTTGCGACAAGCATGGGTTACTGAAGGTTCATTCTAAACCGGACCTTCACGGGTCCCAATTTAAAGAACTATAGACTGTGAAACTTGATGAATTCTACCATGCTTCACACCACAGATGCCGTTACGAACTTGCTGGGCGTGTGAAACAGATTAAAGATTAATTTATTTATTTTTAGATGACCCCGACTCGAAATTTTGAGTGGGGGATCATCTCAAAAAAAAATTTAATTAATCTTTAATCCTCGCAAACACACGAGGGCCTGTGGTGTGAAAGCGCTCTTCTGAAGTTGTTTGTACCATGAAATTTAACATTTAACTTGGCACGTATAAAACGGTTGTGACACTTAATATTTATTTGTTATATTTTTACACCCATACTTGATAAATATTGGAATGCACTCCGTGTCCTCCGGGGTCTGACCCATTAATTACACATGAAAACACAGATAGCTGATAGCTGGGACACTAACATGTTATTGTTACCTGTATGTTTGATATGTCGGGGTGACACCCTCTGGACATGTGACTTATGGGTGTGATAACAAACACTACACAGCCCTGGGGATAATTGATTATACATCTAAATGTTATTATGTTACATAACAAATTGCTGCTTTAGACAATGACACAATTACCCGCTGTTACGTTTGGTTTATACCATGTGAGATAGTCTAGAAATCCGCCATATGCAACTCTACTCTGCACTGAAGTTGATTAGGTCAGAAGCTGTATAATTCATAAAATATATAAACGTTTTCAAAACTGTGTTATTAAGTGACACAGGTTAAAGTGGTTAACATGTTATATACGTCCAAAATATCAAAAGGTGTTTTTAAATGGCGCATTGTCAAGTGTTGAATATTTGACTGCAGGAGTGCCACAAGGCTCAGTCCTAGGGCCTTTCCTATTCATTATATATTTATATTAAATGATATTGTGGAATGTCTTTGGCTGTACAACATGATGTATGCAGATGACGCGTCTTTGTTTAAGTCTTCTACTTAACACATATCGTAGACACCCTTTGAACAGAGACAAAAAAAATAAAATCCCAAAATACAACAGAGGCGACAATGTTTTGTTTTTTCTGAAACTAATTCCGCCTGAAACTGATATTTGATTCTAAAGCAATACGAACTATTGTAAAAACGTGGTTCCTACTACGTAAAGAAAAAAAAAGTGTTTCTAAGCATTTTTTGAATAACATTTTCTTCGGTTTGTAGTGAGTGAGTGAGTGAGTTTAGTTTTACGCCGCACTCAGCAATATTCCAGCTATATGGCGGCGGTCTGTAAATAATCGAGTCTGGACCAGACAATCTGGTGATCAACAGCATGAGCATCGATCTGCGCAATTGGGAACCGATGACATGTGTCAACCAAGTCAGCGAGCCTGACCACCCGATCTCGTTAGTCGCCTCTTACGACAAGCATGGGTTACTGAAGACCAATTTTCTAACCCGGACCTTCACGGGTTGTCCGGTTTGTAAATGGTCTAAAGATATTCATAAAAAATACTTCCATAGAGAATTAAGGTATGTCATGAATAAGCAAGCTCATAACATTACATAAACCAGTTGTCAAACGTCCTCTCCCTGAAACTGCAAGAGAGGTTTCGGATGACTGCTCGTTACAATTAAAGTTAAAAATCTTCAGTTGCAATTTATGGAAGTGCGATGGCTGAGTGGGTTAGATAGCTGACTTGGTGTGCTGGCGAGTACATGCCAGACTGAGAGTGTGAGACTCAACTCAGAAAAGCTCTCATCTGTACTTTACTAAGAAAGCGTAATCCCCATAATATGCCTACGTTACGTTTGACCGGTTTCTAAACGGCGTTGTGTATTTGAAGGATACACTCTGCTGTTTATTGATGCCTTAGATCTTGTTCACAAACAGACGTACGTATTTCTGAAATCAGACCGGAGTGGCGTTATGGGAGCTATCCAGGGCGATTAGCAGGATTCTATAGATATACTAGTACACCGGCAACAGAGAAGTGCCTGACCTTTAAAACAGAGACCGTATGGCTGGCTCTTCGTTGGGCTTCGACGTAGCCCAAGGTGGGATACGACCCCGTAAACACTTGTTAAGGAAATACGTATTTTTCAGGCCCTTTGGATATTTTCTCAATGAATGTTAACCATTTTATAATATATGTGTTTCTAAATTTACAGTGTCTTGAAAAACAACATTGAGGCAGAACATAATGTGTTGAATTGAGTATATACGTTGTGACAAATCTTCACATTTCACTGGCGTGTGTCACAGAAACTTGCCTGGCCGGAAGGACCTCGAGGCTGGAGAACTGATACATTCCGACACAGTGATGACTCGGCAGAACATGACTACACATCACGTAATCAGACTTTCCTCTTGTTTGTAAACAAATGCGCTTACTCTGAAATCGGAAAAGAAGCTTTCTGTTTGCTTTAGATGTTGTCTTGAGTCAGTGAGTGAGTTTAGTGTTACGCCGTTTTTAGCAATATTCCAGCAATATCACGACAGGGTACACCTGAAATGGGCTTCACACATAGATATTGTACTGAATATACGTATAGATATGCTGGAAACTACGACAGTGAGGTCCACGATAATCAATAGTGACTACCTTTAGGTATCAAAAGTACTTCCATGACAACGCCTGGAGCTGTACGATCAATGTAAACAAAGGATAACTGAGCAAATCAAACAACTGTTTCACGTCTCAGGAATTTTTTTCAATGAAAGTGAACAGTTGTTTATGTAGAAGTGCATTCATTAACTTCGAAATAGGTAAAAAACACAAACAAACCCAAACATATGCAATACGTTGATAGGACATTGGACAGTGTAACAGGTGATAAGTCGTCCGCATGGAGTGAGAGAGTGAGTATAATTTTGCGCCTCTTTTAGCAATATTCCGGCAATATCACAGGGGTTTGGGGGTTCTTCCTGAAATGGGCTTCACACAATGCACCCATGTGGGGAATCAATCACGGGTCTTTGGTGTGTCGATTGAACGCTTTAACCACCGACCGTGGCCGCGTGGAACTCAGGGTAAGAGAGTGAAGAATGAATAGAAGGTACCGCGTGGACCACTTCGACCACTTGCATAAACTGCTCTTAAGGTCTCCTTGTGCCGTTGGTTTACATGGCCAACAACTTTGGACGAATAAAGAATGGGCAACACTTCGGTCAAATGAAAAAGAACTTTTGGACCGCTGTCCATAAGTAATGGTGAAAAACAATACGTATAACAATCAGTTTTCTAACAAACCCCAATCAGTAATCTTTGTGGGGAATCGTTGGCAATCCTACTTCGGGTTTGTTTTCCCCCTCTTAAGTAATAAATAACCACCTGGGTCAAAGTATTCTATACCTTCTGATACAACAGCAAATGTTGCTGATTGTGTGTCATCTTACACAGTTGATTTGCGTTAGGGTACGTATATATTTCAATACTACACTACAATATGTACTGGCTGATTAGACTAACATCTAGTCTCGGAAATGAACATAGTTTACAGGGCAAAAAGTTCGTAAATTATGAGCCTAGTGGTTAAAGCGTTGGCTCGTCACGCGTTGGCTCGTCACGCCGAAGACCCGGGTTCGAATCCCCACATGGGTACCATGCGTGAAGCCCATTTCTGGTGTCCCCTGCCGTGATATTGCTGGAATATTGCTAAAAACGGCGTAAAACCATACTCAGTCAGTCAGTCTTGAAACTGGAAATCTAGACTTGCCACATAATCTAGACTTGCATGGGCTTTCTTGGATATATTTGTTTCAGGGTCTGTATGACAGACTACTGGCTGTTGTGATGTGTGTTTTACGCCGCTTTTAGCAATATCCCAGCAATATCATGGCGGGGTTACACATTATGGGAAATCGAAACTCGGAAGTCTTGGACGTGATGACTTTAACCACAACCTTGCCGTTATATAGCTGTGATATTACTGACTGCGACGGAAGTTATTCCATCATTCGTCTGCGACCTAAGCACACGACTCCAACGTTAAACGTGTTAGCAATGACAGAGATCATGGGGTGTGAAGGCAATGTTGACAGGGCTGGTGTAACATCACAGATAACGTGTCAGAGAGTCACAACTAGGAACTGAACAGCCAATATTAATACACGTTTTCCAGGGCCCCGTTTCACAAAGCTATCGTAGCGCTACAACTGTCGTACCTCCTTTACTGTAACAGACTTACAACAGTCGTAGCGGTATAAACAGCTTTGAGAAACGGGGACTTGAAGGCAAAAGGATAGTTTCACTACTTCAATACTTCGCTTGAAACCCATAGCTAAGAAATGTTGGTATTTTCATTAGTGTGTGTTGTGATACAAAATAGTCGTCACATCTTGGACGAGGAAAGGAAAGGTCACAGTTAGGTAATCTGCATGACAGAAAGAAATCATACTACCAAAAAAATCAGTCAGCATTGTTCCAATGTTTGAATCTGTTTTGGAGATGACGACAGAACCTACTTGTTCGAAGTAAAATGTTTTCTTCCTTCATTGTAGACATTCTTGTCCACCAATACCCCAGGGCCCGGTTTCACAAAGCTATCGTAGCGCTACGACTATAGTCTGTTTGCAGTGAAAACATACCGATGAATTTCACTCTAAACAAAAAGGTAAATCGAATAAAGTGAAATTAAGATTGCGAATCCTCATAATTTTACCTTGCCAATTGAACATTTAAATCTCAGAATTTTATTCAACTTAGGATAAAAGTTGTTTAACAAACGATCATAGTTTCAAATCGCATTTATTGGTTTGTATAACAAGGGGGGTATGCACTTTAAATGAATCATCGAGAATAGGTAGGGTTGGTGTAAGTTAACGGTCATCACGTACCGCACGTGCATTTGTTTCACTGTTCCATCTACTGCGCTCACCCCCTTGTAATACAAACCAATAATAGCGATTTGGCAAAGTAAAATTATGAGGATTCGCAATCTTAATTTCACTTAACTTCATTTACTTTTTTGTTGAAAGTGAAATTCATCGGTACGTTTTCACTGCAAACAGACTATAGTCTGTTACAGCATAGGAGGTACGGCAGTAATAGCGCTACGATAGCTTTGTGAAACGGGGCCCTAGCTATCTATTTTTGAAACATTTGTAGCCCTACGAAAATAATTCTTAGGGCTACAAACGTTTCGAGAATAAGGGGGACCTTGGCCTTTTCGTGTTGGAAAGAAAGGGTGTTCGTGGGAACCCCTGAACAAGACTAGTAATCTCGATATCAATCGTTAGTTTTTCAGTAATCTTCATGTTTCCAATGGGAGAAAAGTGGATATTCCATGTCTTTTCTTTTAAAGGTCATGGTAATTACAGCGCTGCCTGTATAAGTGAATCCTGAAGAACTATTTTGAATCCTGTGTCAACGTCCGTGGATACTGATCTAATATGTGTTGCAACACAATGCGGACGAAAACATTGTCATGTATATACAGGTTATTTATTGTACACAAGCATACATTCCGATTTTCGCCATTCATTCAATATACATTCACATCGGTTATACAGTTTCAGGGCACTGAACAGAATGTATTATTGTTTCCTGAAGGATGTACAGGCGTGTTGCATACAAGTTCAGGTAGACAAAAAACATATATACAATTATCTGAAGCTTGTACGCGGCTACCTTTAACAAGAAGACAACGCTGGTGTTCAGTGCTACAGTCAGGGTTTCTTGTCACAATTAATAACAGATCATTACTTTAACCGTAGCCAAAGTATCACCTTCAATAAATCCCATATTTTAACGATCTTAAAGAATAACATGCTTAAACGAAACAAGAGTCAATTTGGAAAAAAGTCTGTGAGAAAGAGATTGTAATACTGAAGATTTGCACATGTTCACAGTTTGTCTGTAGTTCACCCCTGTTCAGCAGCGGGAGCTTGTTCAGCTGCTGGAGCCTGTTCTGCCTGGGCTGTTTGTTCACTCTCAGGTTTGCTCTCTTCTGCTGCTGGTTCCGCTGATGAGGGCTCTGTTGACTCTGCTTGAGGTGCTGGTGTTTGTTCTGCAGGTTTTTCTTCTGCTGCGGGTGCAGGTGCTGGTGCTTCCTCTGCTGCGGGTGCAGGTGCTTCCTCTGCTGCGGGAGCAGGTGCAGGTGCTTCCTCTGCTGCAGGTGCAGGTGCTTCTTCCGCTGTGGGTGCAGGTGCTTCTGCTGCGGGTGCTGGTGTTTCCTCTGCTGCAGGTGCTTCCTCTGCTGCGGGTGCTGGTGTTTCCACTGCTGCAGGTGCTTCCTCTGCTGCGGGAGCAGGTGCAGGTGCTTCTTCCGCTGCGGGTGCAGGTGCTTCTTCTGCTGCGGGTGCTGGTGTTTCCACTGCTGCAGGTGCTTCCACTGCTGCGGGGGCTGGCGCTTCCTCTGTTGCGGGGGCAGGTGCGGGTGCTTCCTCTGCTGCCGGTGCAGGTGCTTCCTCTGCTGCCGGTGCAGGTGCTTCCTCAGCAGGTTTTTCCTCAGCCACTGGTGCTTGCTCAGCAGGTGCTTCCTCTGCTGGTGTTTCAGCAGCCTGTTCTGATGGTGCTTCCTCAACTGCAGGTGCTTCTTCAGCTGGCTTTTCTTCAGGTGCTTGTTCCTGTTCAGATACAGCTGCTGGTGCTGGTGCTTCTTCAGCTGGCTTTTCCTCAGCTACAGGCGCTTCTTCAGATGCAGCTGCGGGTGCTTCCTCAGCTGCTTTTTCCTCTGTTGCTGGTGTGGACTCTACTGGTGCTGACTCTTCTGCCTTAATTTCTTCCTGGACTGCAGGAGCTTCCTCAGCTGCAGGTGCTGGTGCCTCCTGAGCTGCCGGTGCTTCCTCAACTACTGGTGCTGGTGCCTCCTCAGCCTGTGACTGCTCTGCTGCGGGTGCCTCTGGTGCCTCCTCAGCCTGTGACTGCTCTGGTGCTGGTGCTTCCTCTGCTGCAGGTGCAGGTGACTCTTCAGCTGCCGGTGCAGGTGCTTCCTCAGCTGCAGGTGTTTCCTCAGCTGGTTTCTCTTCAGCTGCAGGTGCTTCCTCTGCTGCTGGTGCAGGTGCCTCCTCAGCTGCCGGTGCAGTTGCTTCCTCAGCTGCAGGTGTTTCCTCAGCTGGTTTCTCTTCAGCTGCAGGTGCTTCCTCAGCTGGTTTCTCTTCAGCTACAGGTGCTTCCTCAGCTGGTTTCTTTTCAGCAGCAGGTGCTTCCTCTGCTGCTGGTGCAGGTGCCTCCTCAGCTGCAGGTGATTCCTCGGCTGGTTTCTCTTCAGCTGCTGGTGCTTCCTCAGCTGGTTTCTCTTCAGCAGCAGGTGCTTCCTCTGCTGCTGGTGCAGGTGCCTCCTCAGCTGCCGGTGCAGGTGCTTCCTCAGCCTGTGTCTGCTCTGCTGTTGGTGCTTCCTCAGCTACTGGTGCAGGTGCCTCTTCAGCTGCAGGTGCTTCCTCAGCTGGTTCCTCTTCAGCTGCAGGTGCTTCCTCTGCTGCTGGTGCAGGTGCCTCCTCAGCTGCCGGTGCAGGTGCTTCCTCAGCTGCAGGTGTTTCCTCAGCTGGTTTCTTTTCAGCTGCAGGTGCTTCCTCAGCTGGTTTCTCTTCAGCTGCAGGTGCTTCCTCAGCTGGTTTTTCTTCAGCAGCTTCCGCAGCCTCTGCTGGGGGTGTAGACTCTACTGGTGCTGCCTCATCTGCCTTAATTTCTTCCTGAACAGCTGGTTCAGCTGGTGTCTCAGGTGCCGGAGCTGCTTCTTCTGCCGGAGCACTTTCCTCTTTCTGCTCAGTTTGTGTTTCTGATGGTGCAGCTGGTTCTGCCTTTTGTTCCTCTGTTGATTCTGCAGGCTTCTCTTCAGCAGCGGGTGCCTCTACCTTAGCTTCTTCCTGAGCTGGTTCTGCTGGTGCCTCTGTGGCAGGTTTCTCTTCTTGAGCTGCGGGTTCTGAAGTTTGTGCAGGGGCTTCTGTTACTTGTTCAGCAGGCACAGACTCTGCTTTTGCCTCCTCCGCTGCGGGTGCTGCTACTTGTTCTTGAGAAGCAGGTGCCTTAGCAGTTTCAGATTTTTGAGCAGAGTTTAATGATGCAGCAACAACATCGTCGGTAACTTCACGTACACCTAAAGGAGTAGACAGATCCCGATCTTCAGTCAGTACAGGTGCTGGCTCAACTGCTGTAGCCATTGCAACACAGGATTTAGGGGCTGTCTGGACCGCAGTAGATTCCTCAGAAACAATCAGGTTAGGGGCACTTTTTGGCTTGTCCTCAACAGCAACGTCCTCTGCGACAACTGGTTCTGAAAAACAAAAAACGTTTCGTAAGTTTCATGGTTAAAAAACAAATTAATCAATGAAGACAATAGATCACGCATGCATTTCTGATTACAATATAATCTTATAAAATCATGTCTTACAAATTACTAACACTTGCGTCGATCTACATAGTCAAGGATGTTTTAACGTGATGCACAGGGATTCTGCACTAGCGAGTAGCGTTCCTTAGGCGTTCCAGATACCTATGACCGTGTGTTTGAATCCTAGTTCTGGCTGTCTCCCCATATCCAACAGTTTCCTGTATTGTTCAAAGCAACCGTAAACCATGCTCACGGGCTAATGGGGAGATTTGTTTCACTCAAGGTAATCTGCAGCTTATTACAGAGCAAACTGATGTTGGGCTCGAATAAAATCAGTGATCAGAGTTTGTGGTTATGGTTTTGCCACTTGTGAAGCTTGGCTTGTGAATCAACGGACACTGCACAATCGATTAGGTTTGATAAGGAATGGCTTATGCCTCTGTGCAGGGGTTTAATTTTATTTTTTTTTTAAAGCCACTTGCCACAGGGCAAGTGACTTCAAGAAAGTAACTTGTCCTGGCTAATTTTCCACTTGCCCTGATTTTATGAAATAATCATGATGTAATTATGAAAGAATAAATCAACATGGTACCTGACGTTAATGTTCAATGGACTATTTATCGAGAAGTGATAAATAGCAAAAAATAATAACTCTACTTAATTATCATTGCAAAATTTAATAGCTAAATTTTGAGCAGATATGAAATGAAATCAACGTTTATTTGCAGTTTGAACCGCAGGCAGAGATTATTTAGTAGCCCACGGACAAGTAAGATACCATTATTTGATTGCCCGAAATGAAAACTGACTTGTCCCGGGCGTCGGGCGATGGGATTTCGAACCCTGCTGTGACAACTATTGGAGCATTATATCACGTCTATTTCTATTATAAAACATGGCTAACGTCTTTGTGAACAGTATTGAACTTTTTATATTACCACTAGGTTTGATAAAGAACCGCTTATGTCTTTGTGTCCAGTAATGAAACTTTACATTACAACTGGGTTTAATGACAACAGGCTTCAGCCTCTGAGACTTGACTGGAATACATCAAGTTCAGGTTTGATTAAGATAGAGATTAATGTACGAGCTTGAGTGCCATACTGATTTTACGAAATGAGTGTCAGAATTCCCAAGCAACGGTGAAGGCAATACAAGAAATCGTAAAATCGGTATACCAAAGATGCTAGTGTAATAATTTCTACATTCCCCATTATTTCTTAATCATTTCCAGCCCCATTGTTAGAAAAATGCACTAATCACGATCGACGTCTTTGAAAACCATAATGACGTCAATAAACTGCAGCTATTACATCGCTACTAGTGTGACGTCATTCTGAGCTTACGTCACAAAGGAACGTCAATGACGTCAGAAATGACGTCCTGATAACATTACGTCTACACTGATACGCGTGAAGTGATATTTGCACATACGATATTTATGAACTCGGTGTGGGGAAAATGGCTAAAGTCACAGTGACTACAATATCATATAAACATGACGTTTGATAAAGAAGCCTTATTCCTCTGTCACTATTACGGAATTAACACATTACGATAAGATCTTATAAATAATGGCTAAAGCGCGACCTGCAGTCGTTAAATGTCTATTTCCATTCAGAAGAGACAGGCATCAAATACACAGATCTCAGTCACACTAAAGTAAAGTCGTCGTCAATAAAAGTAGAATTACGGTCAGGTCAGGTCCTTCGTTGTGACTAATTAATATGCATTAATAATTAATAAATAATAAATGTAAATAATTAATATGCAAACATTGGAAAGTAGTTCAGAAAGTTCTTATTACCTCAAGACTAATAAAGACGGCAGCACCGTGGATTTGAATAATAAATATTCTCTCAATTAAAAACCTTGTTTGATATTTGGCAAAAACACTACTCAAATCAAACGTTTGACCTGTTCTACATGCCCACATGGGTGCCCACGAACGCAAACTAAACTGTAAGGTAGGTCACGTTATAACGACCTGGCAATCGTTTCCCTATGTCTGCTATGTGTATACACACATTTCCTAACGGTAATCGGTGAAGGAAACGCGCTATTACACAGACAGTGAATCTTTATTAACTTAACACTCTAAGTTGATGGCCAGCCGGAATGTTCTCTACGCTTATATCATAATTCCAGCTGCACCCACTCCCACTGGGACGTGTGGATGAAGCAACAGTGTTGCATGCTGAAATATGACCAAATGGGGTAGATTGACATAGGGACGACTGAGCTCTGACATGAGAGCGGTTCCAGGACGAACGTCAGATCCCATTCCTTGGCTACTTGGTGGGAAGGGCTCAGTAAGAACACCCGCAACAGCGGCGTCTACACAAACCAACATCGCCGTCTACATCTGTAAATAACATCTCAAGTGTTATTTCAGACTTGTCTAGATGCTGGTGTAGCGTCTGATCACTTCAGACGTACACGCTCTACATTCCAAGCAATCCACACGCCTCATCGTTATCTTTTTCTACACCAGTCTGTTCACATGATATCATGTGACACATCTGGAGAGCGCGTGGTCCTCGGTAGGTCACGCTGACCGCTGGTATGTACACTTGAGTCCAGGCTGCGTGTGGACATGACACTGAGGGTCAACGCACAGAACATGAGTCAACGTCACCACATGCTAGGATGAGATGGGCAGGAAACATACTGGACAGATCCCAGACTCGTTGTTTGTTGAACACAATGGCAGGTATTCAGTTAGACACCATGTCATTCACCAACACAGGCTTGTGAAATACCGCACAGGCTACTGATGTAAATAACCATACTTTAAAAAAGTAAAATGTGCTGCTATTTTCAGATCTATCAGTCAAGGGTGTAAATCAAATACATAATTCTTCCTTTTGAAAAAAATGTAACATATTAGCAGTATCTAAAACCCGAACAGCCAAATACATTATAGCCTTTGCGCTTTAATAAGAAAATGCAGATACCTTTTCTTTTAAATTTTAAAACAGGAAATAATTGTTGACAAAGTTAAAATGTGCCAAAATGTTTTGCTGAGGGATACACCAGAGGTAAATTAAAGAGGTTACGATATCATATCAGTTATCAGTGACTGGCATTCCTGTATACTACTTGAGGCAAGGAGAGGTATTTATCTAACTCAGTGTACGCATCGCACATTGTGACTTCGAGAGTATCAGTGACGTCACAGTCACGTGGCTAAGCCCCGCCCCTCTACACCTCCAGTTGTGAATGAATTGCGTCGTTCCACTTGCCGAAGTTCGTAATACAAGACTATCTGTAATGTATTCCCATTAATGAAACTAATTTATCTTGTGATATTAACTTTGCTAACTACTTCTAAAGAACCACTCACATCACTATTCTACATTAGTTATTAACCAAGTTTTCGGAACTACATATTTCGGGCACAATAAGCAAATCTCGTTTTCTGGGATTTGTATGATTTTCGCATAGACATGTACATACCAAATGTCAAAAATGTTCACGTTAACTATCAGAAGGAATGTGAAAAGGCTGACTAAGAAAAGACTGGCTAAGAAAAGACTGGCTCTCTGACAAGTTACCCCTGTTCTCACATCCAACAATGAGAGACGATCTATCTCTATTCCAAGCTTCAGGAGAACTTCCAGCTAAACTGGATATGTTCTCGCCAAACATCTCCGTGTACTTGATAACTCATATCTTCTCTGATTGTACCAGAATGTAGTAGATTTAATTGCAAGGATTTATCTATGTTCACTGGCGTGCCAGCGCCTCGGAGTCCTGCCTCAGCCCAGGCCTGGGGTTAAACACTTTAACAGAGGCACTAGGGGAGTGTTATATATCTGACTTATCTCACATCAAAGCCGGACACAAACAGGACTATCGCACATGCCATGTCACCCTCGAACGTGTCTGTAAATGGTAAGACCGATATTCAAGGCGCTAAAACCTAACAGAATCAATAAAACTGAGATTGAAAAAGTCACGGTGTTTTAAAATCAATGTTTAAAATCAAATGTCTATAATCATTCATTAAGACGGAATAATTCCATTGCATGTCCACACTTTACAAAACATTTCATTTTAACATTTTTTCTGGTCTTGCTGAACTGCCCCGCCCGACTTTCATCAGCACATCAATGTGTCGACGTAGGCCACAGAGAAATGTAAGTGAAGGTTATATAAAAAGAAGGATCAGCAATTCTCAGTAGGAGAGTAACAGCTGCGGAATGTGAATCTGATATACAAGAGGAACGTACTGCTGTGTCGATATCAAAGATAAGGTATCCGACATACTTCAATAAGCACCAGTATAATCGGAAAACGCGCAAATGAAGAGTTCAGTCACAGTAAAAACTAGAACAGAAAGTTAAAACCAAATCTAAAGTCAAGGACATGTGCATATAATCGAGTTTAAAAAACGTACACCAACCTAAACAGGTAACAATGTTCAGTAATGACGTACCTATTAAACATATATAAATCCTATAAATTTAACTTATAAAAGTGAATTTATCTTCAATGAAGTATAATAAGAAAGTAAAAACGTACCTTCTAGCGCTAGATGCCTGTGGCCTATGAACGCCTTAAAAGCAATGTAGTTGCAACAAGTAGACACAAAAGTCACACAAAACTTGGGCTGACAAGTCACAAAGTGGACAGCACAAATCCCAAACACTGAAATGAATCGGCGAGGTTTCTGATAGACTCAAACCTACTCCTTATTATATGTTTCACAGCGGCTAGGTAAATCTCATCTGAGTTCCGGCGTGTTGCACGACCCTGTCCAGGTGAATTAAACACTCAGTCCTCTTCGAGCTTTAGCTCTCAACTATTTGACAGTGCGACTGCACAGGCTTATATACCTGAAATTATGCATCTCCGTATCTAATAAATTGCCTTAGGCAAATTAAAAGATGGCACAGAGATGATGCGCACCTGCCTGTTCTCCCTGTTGGTAAAAGTGG